CTGCCCAAAACAAGGGTTTTTCAGCCATAGCACTTCAAAACCTAATCAACAACATTCTTTCCACTTATAACCCTTGGATATTCAATCAAAACCACTTTTTATTTGTTCATAAACATGTCTCAAAACACCTCCAGGAGTTCATATTTACATAGTTACATATACAATTCAAAAATCTCCTAGGATGCATATGCTCGGCATAATGAGAGAGAGGAGAGGGAGATCGCCAGTCGACTCGTCACTCATGACGTGAATTGAACAACAAAAGATGACTTTAACTTTCACTTCTTGCTTCTTAGTACCTAAAAAGATAATTGCATTTTTAATGAGATGCTACTCAATGAGAGAACAATAATCTATTGAAACCATAACATGCAATCACGTTATTCAGTATCATCACATATAAACAATACAGGTAGTTCGTATGACTCTAAGATTACATGCTTTTCTTTTTCTTATTGGTTATAACTTGGACATGTCAAGTTTCGTCCCGGTACTTGTAACTTGTAAACTTGTACACATGTATTGCTGGCCGACTTTTATAACTTGTAGTTGACCCGTTGGGTCCTTGTAAACTTGTATTTGCGAAACTTGGACAAGCCGGTCATAACCTTAACCTCTTAGTCTTGCATATATCATGAATATTTCATATATAGCATATACAACATCCATGGCTTACACCATGGTACATATCCATTATAACATCAATAAATATAACGTTTGCGTCAACTAGTAAACGGCACATCATTCACTTTATAATATCAATATCAATAAACATAATATTGTTATAATATCAATAAACATAATGTTTGCGTCAACTAGCAAATGACACATCATTCACATCATAGTATCAATATCAATAAATATAATATTAGCACTCAATAGCAATAACACATCATGGCACAACTATTATTATTCAACTCACAAAAATGACGTCTTCGTCGTTTATCAATACGTCGCGTCTTGCACCTCATGCTCCTCGGCGTTTATAAAGACATACACATGTACTTTTATAAGTCATTTTATCATGATCAAACTTCTAAATATGCTCAAGGTACAAAATATGACTTTAAGGTTAACTTATTTCTTTATGGGTACTTGACCCCTTTTCACTCTTTCTACCATAAGTCCCAAAATACTGATTCAAATGATGCCATTCTAGTTTCACATGAAACTAGACTCATAGGGTTCTAACATATCGAAAAATCAAGTCTAGGTACGAAATACACAACTCATGATGATTTTCTAAAAATCAGAGTTGCTGCCATTTGTTTATGGGTACTTGACCCCTTCATAGTTCACACTCTTTGTAATATAAATCCTAAAATACAAGGTAAAATGACAAAATTCCAGTTTCACATGAAACTAGACTCAAAGGGATCTAACATATCCAAAAATCAGCCCAATATTCCATATACAGGATTTATTCTAGATTTTCAAACTCTAACTAGTTTTCAAGCACCCTTGTTACCGAAGCAAGTATCCAAACAAACAACAACAAATCTAGATTGAGACATGATCAAGACCTAATTCGTTTTTTAAAAAGAACTAGAAATATCAATATAAAAAATATCCAAAAATCAGATCGAAATACTCAACACCCAAAGAATACCATATTTTTAAAGTTTGCACACTAATCTATCAACGATCAGATCACCTAGAACAATATGTGTTCAAACCATCATAACCCGAAATATACATTACTAAATACCAAACCCTTTCACAAAGAGCTAGATAAGACACAAAACAACAATTTTTATTCTTACAACTTGTTCCAGATCTGACCCTAAAGTCTCAAAATCAAGAGTGCAAAACAGAGCTGGAGATGAACTTACCTAGATTTCTAGCTTAATCATCCGAATTTGACAAAGAAATGGGTTTTTCCTCTCTTTCTCTCTCTCTCCAAAAACGGGAAACAAGATGGGCTAAGAAGAGATAATGATCAGGTAAGTAATCTTGATAAGGTTATGAAGATATTTTGGCAAAGTTCGTTTTGGTCCCTCAAGTTTTGGATTGTTTTTATTCTAGTCCCCCAACTTAGATTTCATTCAATTGAGCCCTTATTTCTTCCTATTATTCAAAATACTTATTATCCAATACCCCACTAACATGTCATATGCAGGTATAATTATATGCGTGTAATTCTTAAGTATGCATGTATGCATGAACAATGTATGTTTTTGGGACGGGATTATTACACAAACTTTCAATTTTAAACTTGACCTATAAATCAATACTTGATTGCCAAAGGATTACCACTTACCACAAATATTTATTTTAATAACATATATTAAACTCTAAGCCATTCTACTTGTCTGCACGCGGTAGATTTAATTCTCAAGTATTTCGTGGTAGATTAAATGGATAAAACCACAATTTGTAACGAAGAAGTCCGTATCATTTGAATAACTCTGATAATTTTTACTCAAAATCCATTTTTATCCCTAAAAAATCTCTGATGTTACGGCACTACCCTTATGGTTTAAATTTGCTAATATTATTCCTACAATTTCTTGAAATTTCATTGTTAGTGTTTAAATAGCTAGAAAGCTCAATTAGTCATTATTTTCTTTTAGCTTTTCTTACTTTTCTCCCATTTCATTCTCACAGATCCTTATGCATGTGTTAATACCTTGCAATATTTGAAATTTAAAAAACAATAAAACAAAAAATTAAAAAAGTGCGCTCATCATCAGATATATATAAGCTATTAATGATGGTAAAATTGAATTTTTTGAAAACTATAAAGTAACACCAGAAGATTTTAAATTATAAAATCGATGAATTTATAAAGGTGAAAATGAAATTTAGTTTTAGTTTTTTTTTTTTTTTTAACCATTCAAAGTGAAACTAGAAATACCACATATACAGGCATTTTGAAATGTTAGAAAGCAGTGGCAGTAAAATAGTTACGCGACAAGAAGATTTTGACCTTTGAGAATTTATTGGGTTTGGAGATGATTAAAAGCGGGCGGAGAAGTTAGTTTTAGAAATCGTTTAGCAAGCACTCGTTTCCACTTTCCGAATTAAAGAAAGCAGTCAACGAAAAAACAGTACGTGTAGGGCACTCTACTAACCCTTGCTATTAATGATGTTGAGAATGGCCATGCATGCATCATGATACGTCTCTTTTACGATTTAATTGCCTCCAAGTAATCCCATCATCATTACAATTAATCAATTGCGGTGTAAAAAGCTTGTTCACATAGTAACATTTCACTTTTCTAGTCCTCCGTCTATATTTTTTTTTGAAAAGAAATAGTTTTTTTTTAAAAAAAAAACATAAAAGAACTAGCAATATATATTAACAAAAACAACAAAAATGATATAAGTAATTACTATTTATTCATTCACAAATCACTATTCATATTTTTGTAATTTTGAAAGATGATATTTTCATAATTTCTTGATTGTTTTTTGAATATTCATATACAAATTTTACATAGTGTTTTATTTTGATTCATGTTTTTAAAAGCTTTTTTAGTCTCTCTTGTTTCAAAAAGATATTTTGACCCTTTTTGTTTTCACATTATTCTATTTTGGTCTCTCATTTTTCATAAGATATTTTTGATCCCTTGTGTATTTAGAAAATATTTTTAGTCCGTCACGGTTTTATGTTTTAGAATTAATATATATATCGAATTATATTATTTTTATTTTTTAAAATTGATATATTCAATTTATCATTTTTTATGGAAATTCTCATCAAATTATTTTTTATTTTTCTTTTTTCATGTAATTTTATTTGTTAATAAACATAATTTATTTTCCTCTATGTATAGATTTTTGAGTAAGCTTTTTTTTTTTTTAATAAATCATCAATTGAATAATACAATTCATGTGTTTTATTTGCTATTTTTTTATATAATCAATTTTTTATTTTTTTATTGCACTCGATTAACTTCAATATATTTCTTATAACTAAATTTTTCACAAAATATGTTTTTATATTTATACTGCATATTTTGACCTACCGAATATAGTCATGAAGTATAATAAAAAAAATTAAGATCATTGGTTTTATTATAAATTAATTATGCACATACACACACAAAACCAGTTATTTTCCATTTTTTTAATACTCTAAATTTTATTTTTTTGAATAAAATAATTGAAATAATGTTTTAGATGAATCATCAAATAATTCAAATACATCTTTTTACACTAATATTTTGTTTATTGTTTTGCAAATAAGTATGTATAAATCAAATGCATAAATTTTTAAAAAGCTACAAAGATTTGTTAGTTAATTTTTATATAAGTTTTTATATTGATTGTTGTTTTATTTCTTAAATGCAATCTTATACAAAGAAATAGTAAGACTTTTTTTATTTTATATTAAATTTTTTATTTACATTACTACAAATTTTTGTTAGGCATCTAATTTACAACAAAATACATGTCATTAAACTCGAAAGACAAATTTTTTCTTAAGAATTATGAAAATATTGATTGTACATTTGCTTTTCAAACTCATCTATGTATGTTTTTTTTTTTTAAATCTTAATTTAGCTTTGTTCTACTATCGTATTTCAATTCTAAAAATCATATAACAAGAAAAAAAATCATAAACTTGTTTATTGTGAATACAAACAAAACAACATAATAATACTACAATCATATACAATATCAACGCTCATAAATAACCGAACTTAACTCATTAGATACTCCTTACTATCTTCGGATACTTATATCTAGGAGTGTTCATTATTCGGTTAAAACCGAATTATCGAACCGAAGTACCAAACTAAACCAAAATATCCATTTTGATGCAGTTTTTAAAAAAAAAATTAAAAAAATGAACCAAAATTATTTTGGTTTTTGGATTCGGTTTAGTTTTATTTAAAAAAAAAATCGATTAAACCAAATTTTTTGCTTTTTTTTGTTAGTATGTATATATGTTTTTTTTTTAATTCGGATTAAAATTTTAACCCTACTCACTCGGTACTCGGACTCTCATTCTCAAATCAAAAACCCATCTCTCAAATCTTAATCCCTAAGACCTAAAGACTCTCATTCCCAAATAAAAAAAACTCTTCCTCAATCCCTAAGACATAAGATCGTAGCGGATCTGCAGACGATGCTTCACCCTCACGCCTCCCTCCTCCACGGCTCCACCACTCGCTAGCCCAACGGCCCTCGGCCCCTCCTCCATCACGGTGACCTAGCCCACCTCCCCCTCCTCCTCGGAGAGCGTTCAGCTGTCGGCCCATCCTCTTGGGACCGCGATCCACCTCGGCACCTCCCTTCGTCCGACGTCGCTCGGTCCCTCCTCTTCCACTCGACTGCTCTTCTCTCACTCTGGGTTTCGAGTTGGTTCTAAAAATTAATACCCTTCTTGCTCTCATTTTTTGAATGGATTTTCCTTAATTTATTTGCTATAGCTTCACCTAGTAATGAGACCGAATTCTAGAAAAATTCAAATGCATGTAAATTTTTCTTGTTTTTGTTCTTTAATTGTCGTGTATTTAAACCGTGGATGATAATTGGCTTATGTTAATACAATTTCCAATTAATACATTTACAATGTAAAGCTTAATATGTTTTCTTTGTCCTCGTTAATCCTCCGTCCGATGATTGGTTCTAGAAATTAAGAGTCATAAGCATTGTCATAACCCAATTTTGGGTTCTTTTAAAGGAAAAAAATAAAATAAAATAAAAAACTAAAAAGGAAAAAAACAAAAAAAAAGGGAAAAAATATTAAACCTCCCTAAAATCACTCAAAATCTTTCACAAATCTTTTTTAAATTGGAAGCTCCTTATTTTTAGGAATCAAATCTCAAAATTAATATCCGACAATTAAAATTTGAATTGATTTTGGGAGAGATTTTAGGAGGTTTAGGCCTATAAAAAGCTTTCGAGTTCTAATTTGCGGGGGAGAAAAAAAAGGAGGGGAGGAGAAAACAAAAAGAGAAGAAAAAACGCAGCCAAAAAAAAGAAAAAAAAATGCGAAAGCCTAAAAGAAGAAGCCAAACACACCCTAACCTAATAACCATACCCGATTACTCGTTTACCCATCCGAAAATTTTGAGCCTCAATTGATCATTTTTCATTAAGCTTTTGACCCCGATCAACATACCCACGTGTAGCCCTTCACCGGATCGGTCCATCAACACGGTTAGAGAGAAAAAATCACGGGGAGAGAGAAATCAAAGATCAAACCACCCGACCCGACCCGTATAAAGACCGGCTCGTTTCTCTCAAATCCGATCACCAACACGAGATCGACCACCACGGACCCGATCGTCGGTCTCTCTTGAGTATTTTCATATAACGTTCACGGCCCAACGACACCGAAAAACGGTTTAATTGACCCCGACCCGTTTTCGACCCGTTTTGGTAAACCCGACAAAATTGGCCGATCTAGGAATAATTGGAGGTCCTAATTACCATAGAACTTTTTATCTCGACTTTGTGAGTCGACCCGTGGGTTTGGAATCCCGATAGGAGGTCGGATTCATCGCCGATGAAGAAGGGAGATCCTACCGAACCTTTGGAGGCTCCGATCTCCCTCCTCCGGCATCGTCTCCGGTTGGAACCACCGCCATCGGAGTCGCAATGGATGGAACGGGCACCGGAAGATGAACGGTCGCTTGGCGGTGACTCTTGGTAATCCGGGGGCATTTTGGTAATTTTATAGTGTATGTGAATTTTGGACTTTTTTTTTTGAATTTTTTTATTTTTTTATATGTTTTGTAATAATTTTTTTTTGTCTTATGCATGTTCGAAAATCCAAAGCTATTTAGTTATGGAATTTATTCTAATATGTGATGTTTTTTTATGTGATTAAAATATTGGATCAACGAGTCTCCTATTTATTAGGGACGGACGGTGATTTTAATACATTTAATTTCTAGTTAATTTAAGTTAGTTAAAATCTTATTTTTTTAATTATTATTAAGAAAATAAAAAAAACTAGACAAAATATATATCAAAATTTTCGATGAAGCCTCCTATTTGATAAGGGTCGACGTCACCAAAAATCACCTTTTAATTAAGACGTCGTTTGTGTTAAGGCTTAAAGTGGATCCGATGTTTGAATCGACGTGTCGCCCGACGAAGGAGACCGAGATCGTTTTAATATGATGCCACGCTCAAAACTAAAAAAATTCAATTTATTTAAAAAATGAGAGATTAAGAGTCGGAAAATAATTTGACATTTTAGGAGATAAATTTAGAGCTAAAACCGGACGTGGTACCTTTCTTCGGAAAGGGCACTTTTGGGTGATCGACATCTTCCCAAAAGCATAACCAACTCCTTACCATATAATCTACTGAACCGAGTGTCCATTTTAGGTTCCTAGTTCCTTCAATACTAGGTGGCGACTCTAAAATCCGTAAATAAACTTGTAAATATTCATTCTAATTTTAGATATTTTCGAGGAGTCCCGTCCGATGTCGTAATAATTAAGACAGAATGGTGACTCCACCGGGGACTAGAGTTAGGCCATAAGGTTTAGTTTTTAATTTATCTTTTATGTTTATTTTTTTATTTTCTGAATTTTATTTATTTATTTGTGTATATATTTAAATTTTTTGTCCGCACGTTTATTTTCAAATTGGGTTGTACGCCTTTTCTTTTCACTGTTGCACACAACACAAAGGAAACCCCTACAAGCTCGGACCCGAGCTGAACCCTAATAGGAATTAGATAGAGTGATTTGGAGGCGAGTATGACAAAAGTCTATCGATGCTCTTTCAAACTCTCGTTTAGATCGAAACTCACCCTATACATTGGAAATGGTGGAATAACCTTCCCCTACCTCCTAACGTATAAGGTTAGAGGCTGGATTACCCCACCGGTAATTTAGGCGGTCTAGAGGCTTGAAAATCTTTAGGACTAGTCAAGTTTTGCCCAACCATAGAAAAGCTAGATCTTGTCTATTAGAGTTGACTCGATTAAGACACGGATCATTATTAAATGATATCGATATCGACCCTTGGTATTCCAAGGGTATTTTTATAATTTTTAGTGAAGGTTATCCTTCGTGTTAAATCATGACCGAAGAAGTCGGAAATGAGGTCGAGGATTTTAGATCGGATTTGAGCGGGCCCAAAATGATGAAGGAGATTGTCCGCCCTTAAATTTCATGTCGAGATCTGCGAAAAGTTTCGCCCTTCGTGCGCTCATAATAAGAGTAGTTTCATCATTCCAAAATCAAGTCATAACTGAAATTGAGGACATACGTGTCTCCCTAATCGCCCAAGTATCCGTAGGGTAATTTTGCCATCGGCGAGTAGTAGCTTGATCCGATCTATCTTCGACAAGATTCTATCATGATTTAATATGCAACAAATAAAAGAAAGGTATCCAACCTAGTTCAAAATCATACATTTTCATTAAGTATTTATTTGTTCCATCACCTCATCGATCGGGGCCTTCCAATCATGTAACTTTTCGAGCCGAAAGTTCACACCCTATTGGAAATTTGCTTACCCTATGAACCCGAGAGTCCCGCAAATGCCTCCAAGTCAATCCTGCAGAAGAGGAAACTCACGATTATAAGGCGAGTTAAACGTCCAAGTATAGACGGACTCATGGCATTAGAAGAATGCCTAAGGGTGATAGAGGGGGCGGATGTCTACGATCCTGTCAAAGCTGCCGAAATGTGTCTAGTGCTCGATGTGGTAATCTCGAAGAAGTTTAAGGTGCTAGATTTTGCTAAATATACTGGAACCCGGTGTCCTATGGCCCATTTAAGGGTATATTACAGCAAGATGACGAGATGTTGTTCACGATGAAAAACTACTCATACATTTCTTTCATGAGAGATTAAGCGGATCGGCATTGAGTTGGTATATAAGGTTAGAGGGGTCCAAGATCGGAGGATGGAAAGATCTAGTCGATGCTTTTCTCAAGCAATACAAGTTTAATATGGAAGTGGCTACGAATCGTTCGGATCTTCAAAGTATGGAAAAAAGAGCTAAAGAGATCGTTAAGGAGTACGCGCAAAGGTGGCGCGAGGTAGCGGCTCAAATCCATCCACCATTACCGGAATATGAGTGAATTTTGATATTTTCGAATACTTTCAAAGCACCCTACTTTGAGTATTTGATTGGTAATGTTTCAACCAACTTTACCGATATTGTCATCATAGGCGAGAGGGTGGAGCGAGCAATTAAAGCTGGAAAGATTTTTTAAAAGACAAAAGGCGATGGCAACAAGAGAACGAGATGAGGAGATACATCGAGTTAGGATCGGATCTTATCCATCCAAAAATCGGAGGAGTAACCAAGGAAAGCATAAAAAGCATGATAGCTATAACCAAAGACCTTCATTCACCCATTATACCCCCAACCCAACAAACACCATGAACCAAACATACCCATCAAATCAATCGAACCCATCTTACACACCTCACCAAACTTACCAAGTAAACCAATTCTCTCAAGCTACTACACATTTTCAAAATCCACCAATTCACAACCAAGACCACAAAAAAGAACTCGAGAACCTACGACCTTTGCTCGTCTCATTGGGTGAGATATTTGAACATCTAGTGAGTACTGGATCGATTACCCCAATTCCTACCAAACCAAAGCTCCCTCCTTATCCCGTATGGTACCAGCAAAATAAACGTTGCGAATATCATTCGATGGTACTAAACACAACATCGATAATTGTCCTGCTTTTAAAAAGAGGATCTTGGCTTTGATTAAGAAAGGGCGGATCGGCCTTGATAGTTGTCCATATGCTCTTGATGTGAGCATGGATCAACTGCCAAGCCATACGATTACCAACGCATGAAGAGATGGTGTGAGCTCGAAAGATATGGTGATGATGCATGCTCGTCGATCCGCAAATGTCATCTTTTAATTTTGTCGGTTTTTGAAAACTATGTTTTGAATATTTTGGTTATCCATGAGTTAAGACGTATATTTGAATGAAAGAATGCTTAAGTTTTCTTTTGCAATTTGATATTATCCGATTTGAAATTAAGAGATGTTCATTTGAAAGTATTACTTAGCATTAGCATCTTTCTCCATTAAAGAAGCATAATGGCAAATTCATTCAAAGAAAATTTTGTAAAAAAATGATCAAATTTCATAACATGACGGATATGTGCTAGAGATAATTTCTTCAAAGATATATCCTATTGATAACCTTTACGAGCAGAGTAATGAGCGAAATCCTTCATTTTGTTAAGAAAAAGAAATCCTTTATCCTTTATCAAACTTAACATTTAAAGGAAAATTGTTGCCTAAGAAAACATAGTGAAGCCTAAACGAAAGACTCAATGATTGGTGCCTTAAATAGTGATGAACGAGTATTCATAATTAATCATCATCGTTTAAAAGAGATTAGCGTGTAACGACATAGGTGAATCAATCTTTGAGATGAGGAAAG